TATAGATTGTATACATTGAAGTAATTTAATGGATATTTGGAATAGTTTTAATCAAGAATTGCAAGTGAAAATCGTACAAAAAGTTCGTCAGAGATGCTTATACATTTTTATACAATTTTATACAAAGAGGTATATTATATATATATAGTTGTATAAAAATATATAAAGATGTATAAGCACAGTAGTGAAAATGTTGATGATACACCATGTATATAGGTGTAGAAGAAGAAGAAGGAGAAGATGAAGATGAAGAAGAAGAAGAAGAAATGTGAGAATCCACCAAATACCTGTAAATAATTTATCAACCTTGTATAAAATAATATATAAGAGATGTTTATACACCATTATACATTACCTATACACTATTATACACTATTATACAAATGAATCATGTCAATGGAGCTTCACGGGTTCTTCTTCTTCTTTGGGCATCTTCTAAAATTCAACTCAAATCTAGCTCAAATCTGCTCCAAATCACTTCAAATTTGAGTTTTGAACTCCCCTTGACGACCCCAATCAATTGGGCCAACACCCAATCCAAATAACTAACAAAATCGAAAAATTCAATTTCTAAAATTGAAGCTTCGAATGACCTTTAATGGTGACTCCAAAAATAATAATTCTCTTAAATGATATTTTTTCTTCTCATCTTAATAGTAATTATCAACTTTGAATCTGGAAGGAGAATTGAAGAATATATATAATGGTAGAGAAATTTTGGGATGCAAAGTCGCGAAAGAGGAAGAAGAAGAAGAACGAAGAAAAAAAAAATAGGGTGGGCTAACCGGTGAAAAATAATTATCAGATTATGTACAACCTGGGCCATATCAGGTAAGAGCTTCAAACGTGGGCCATTTTTTGATGGACTGTTGGGCCAAGTAACAAGGAGCATAATCCCCCCTTTGTTTAATTGTGACTTGCTGTCACATTTTTTTTTGGGGGGGGGGGGGGGGGTTAATCTTATCTTATAATTTATTAATTAGGTAATGTCCTGTTACCCGATAATTAACCGATTACTTACATAAAATACTACTTACTTTTAATACCCTTTGTACACCTTACTATTATAGTCATATGATATCTTGTATGGTACTAGTCCGTAAATATCGGGTATTATCGCTTGGCCCGTATTTCATCCCAAATCGACAACCATTAACGAAACTCATTTTCTTCCATTGCTTACCTTCTCTCCTTCACGAATTTACTCATCATGTGTTTGAAATAGCATAATCTTATAATCTCAAGAGAATCTCATCCCCGAGTTTACGTCAGTTAACTGAAGACGAAACTTTAACATACAAAAATGTGGAATGTAACAGGGAACATCAATGAAAACGTGCAATATAAAGTAAAACAGATGGAGTTTTCATTTCTAAGAATAGTCGCTAGTTAACCAAATGCAAAAAATATAAAAAAATAAGAGTCAAATAAAATACTCTATATAGGCTAATCTAAACACAACTTGTAATTGATCAACTCTTTAAGGCTAGCCTTAAGTGTTGTTTTTTCGTCTCCATGTCGGCCAAGTCATCAGCAGTCACCAAGGAAACATCAGAACTTCTACGGTTCTTTTTTTTAGCAGATGAGACTCTAGATTCAATCTCTTCAACCTCATTCTTGGAAGCATCTTGGAGAGCTCTTAACTGTTTCACCTTCTCCTTGGCCTCTTTGAGAGATTTACTGGTGACAGACAGTTCCTCGACCTTCTCCCCTTTTTCAGTCAAGATAAGATCAAGATGTTCCTTGAATTTTAAAAATGGCTCTGATTTCAACGTCCACAACCTTATCACAAAGAGTTGATCGTGCCTGGTCATATGAAGTGGCAAGCTTAAAGAAAGACATCAATAGGTATTTTAGAGAAGAATATCCACACCATTTTCATCCATCTCCTCGAGAATCACTTGGATCTCAAATTGAAAAGAAGAAACATTGTCTACAGTAAGGTCAGAGAGTTTTGTGATTTTGGATTTGGGCTGTATTTCCGTTCACTTTTCTGCGTTCTTATTACGGTGCTCTGCTGTTACTCGCTGTTTTTCTTTCCTTATTACAATTACTGTGTTGTTAGCCATATCGCGTAGTCCTTACATATATATTATGTTCTGTTGTTTCTATACTTATACTTGTTCTGTGTATTAGACCAGTGGGTGTCTTGACTGTTCCTCGTCACTACTCCATCGAGGTTAGTCTTGATACTTACTGAACACCGCTGTGGTGTGCTCATACTACACTTTTGTACATTTTTTTGTGTGCAGATCTAGGTATTGTTCGAGAGTAGCTGTGCGGGTTCTTGTCGAGGAGACTCAAGGTAGCCTTCCTATTTTATACACACTATTGCACTTATTTCTATACGGATGCGTTTATAAGCTGTAGCGAAACTTTGTAGAGCTTATGACTTGTACTACCGGATTTTGAAAATTATAAATTTTGTAGAGATTTCTGCTTCAAGACTGTTAAATTTCATTTATTATTGTAGTATTACAGTATGAGTTAGGCTTACCTAGTTCCTAAGACTAGGTGCCATCACGATACCCGGACGGAGGGAAAATTGGGGTGACATACATCCAAAGAAAATCGTACTTCAAGTCTAGTCTTTAAAGTTTATAAACTGACATGTCATAAAGTAGGGGGCATTTGTAGGCATGCAAAATTTAATCAAAAGAAAATTTTGGATCATATTTTAAATATATTAGTCCAAATAAATATTTTGGACTAATATAATTGGATTAATTATACCAGTCCAATTTAATTGGGCTACAAATGATGAGCCCACTTTGTTAGGCCCAAGATGTCTTCTTCCTAGAGGCCCAGTTTAGTGCCACATGTGAAATGATGTGGCACTCCAAGTCAAACGGAAGAGCCAATAAGATCATGCCAAATGTCAAAATGACAAGGCATGCCAAGTCACATTAAAAGGCCAATGAACTCGCGCAACGTGTGCAAGTGACATGTCTGGCCAATCAAATGCGGCCTTGTCACCTTTCAATTTGATTGGTCGGAAAGAGTTTGTTTTTATCATAACTCTTTCCTCCCACTATTGTAAATAGGGGTCTTCATAAAGACACCAGAAGTTATAACAAGAAGACACAAGGGAGCTCGTGGATCAAAGGCCACAATTCTCTGCAAACTGCAAGTGTTCAAGCATAGCACTTCAACAAAAATTTCAAGTATTCAAGATCAAGAACGAAGTCCAATTAAATACAAGACATTAAAAATCAAGGCTACTTGTTCATTATACAATTCGTGGCAACAATCAAAGTGTCCGCGACGGATAAAACAAATTCAAATTCAAGATCAAGCTCAAAGGCCCTTGAATTTATATTGGAAAAGTAATCAGGAGAATCATAGAGATTGTGACGCTCAAATTACTCGAAATCAAATACTACGATTGTTGCAATATTTTTCGGTCTTGATTTTATTTTCTCGACGCAATTTATTGTCTACAGAGAGACTATTTCAAAAAAGAATAGGAAAAGGAGAAAAAATACAATAGAAAAAGAAAGGGATAGTAAAAACAAAGACGGAAAAGGAAAAAATAAAATTATTGAAGGATAATTGAAATATAAAGTTATAGTAAGGTTATTTTTGTCTTAAAATAACTAATTTTCTACTTTTGTTTCTACTTTTTGGAAGAAGTTAGAATTTGTAGCTTCTTCCCAAAAGTAGAAAAATTGCTTCTGCTGGTACTCAAAAGCACTTATTCGTCTTGGCCAAACACATTAAATCTCTAAAAAAGTACCTTTTCTGATAAAAATAAATACTTTTAGCCTCCCTGAGACTCGGCCAAACAGGCTCTAAGAAACAGTTATTAAGATAAAACTGTTTCATTTGGGATTAGGTCTGAAAGATATTGAAGTCGAAAAATTACTTTTTATGTCTTGTATAAACAGATGGTACGTGCACAAATAATAATGTAATGTTATTCAACGATTTCATGTTTACAACGCCTAAATTCTGAGTTCGTATTATTCATGAATAAATGATCATTGAGGATTGTACTTGTACATTTAACTCAAATTAACAAAATGTATCCAAATTCATAATACAAACAGTCTCAACATATAGAATATGCAAGGATCTAAGAATTTCGATAGTGGTTCTCAATTTCAGTTCAAATTGCTTCCTTCAAATTACGTCGCATTATTTAAGAAAATGTATAGGAGTAGTACGTTTTTCCAGTACGAAATATTTACTTAAAGTGGAAAACCGAAATTCTAGAAGGCCTTTAGATAAAATCCATTCAATTCCCACTAGAAGAAATGTTGAGATACAAGAAGAAAATGTTGTTATTGCTGTTACTTAGTTTTTTCTTTGGGTTATTTTCTCTTCTTTTATTTTTTCTTCTTTTACTAATGGGCCTACATTTACTATTGGGCCTACACTGTATTTATTTATACATGTATCAAGTAATGGACTGGCCCATATATTGTAAGGGAAATATTATTTTTGTAACAGACGGATTTGGGATTCATTTTTCTCTCTAATGGAAAATATCTAGAATCTTCCGCACTTCTCCTTTTCCGTTCCTCTTTCTTCGATCTCACCATTAATGGAGTTTTATCATGGTATCAGAGCCAAGATCTAGATAGATTACGATATTATCTCTTTTCCGAGGCTACAATCGCTTAGTTTCATCGGAGTTTTGTTGAGATTCCGCTGTTCTCTCCGATTTGATTTTTTGGTTCCTTCATTTCAACGGATCTTCATCGGTATTTTGAGTTTCTTTCTTCCGTATTGATGACGAAGATGAAATTTATCATTAGCAGCGAATATCTTCTAGCGATTGATCATTTTTTGGAGTTATTTGAGGCGTCTATTTCAACCTAGGGTTTACTGGATTTTGTCAATTTCTTACTCAGTCAACTAGGAGGTGCTAGTCCTTGTGACTCTTTTGTTTACAAGGCCGTTGTTCCTTCCGGAAGCGAAGGAAATTTGGTAACCCTAGCTATCTCTGTTCTCTTGTTTCATTGTGCGTGCATTATTTCTGATTAATTGCATACAAAATGCCGAATAATGATGGTTTCGAACCTGTGTTACCAACTGTTTCTTCTGTTTCTCGATCTGCTTTTCATGACGACGATTATACGCATCCATGTCATCCTCTTTATGTTCATCCATCTGATATTTTAGGATCTTCTTTAGTTTCTGTACCTTTTGATGGTACTGGGTACGGGAGTTGGAGACGAACCACTCTTGTGGCCTTATCTGTTAGAAACAAACTGGATTTCATTAATGGAATTTCATTTAAACCTCCTGATAGCTCTCCTTTGGCGAGACAATGGCAGAGGTGTAATGATTTGGTTGTCTCTTGGTTAATTAACTCCCTATCCAAAGATATTTCTTGTAGTGTTGAGTACTCTGAACTTGCCAAAGATATTTGGAGTGAGTTGGAGGAAAGATATGGTCAGGCAGATGCTGCAAGGGTATTTGAACTTAAGAAAGAACTTGCTCACATCTCACAAGGATCGCTTGATATTGCTTCTTATTTCAACAAAATCAAGCAATTATGGGATGAAATTGATGCCTTGTCAATTAGTAGAGTCAGGTCTTGTAGTAACTGTGGTTTCAAATCTGACTATCAAAGGGATGATGATGTTCAAAAGGTGTACCAATTTTTGATGGGTCTCAATGATATATATGTGCAAACCAGAAGCAATATTTTCATGATTAAACCATTTCCATCTGTGAGTACTGTCTACAGCATATTATTGTCAGATGAGAAGCAGAGGCAGGTCTCTACCTCTCCTCAGTTTCTCCCTACATCTGCATCTTTCAATGCTGGGGTATCTAAACAAGGTTTTCTTTTCCAGAGTCAACTTTGACACACAAAGACCCCTTACATGCAATTATTGTAAGAAACCTGGTCACACTATTGACAAGTGCTACAAGTTACATGGGTATCCTTCAAATTTTAAGTTCACAAAAGGGACTGCCAGTAGGAAAGTTGCAGCTCATGTTGAACTGAATTCTCCCTCTCCTTTTGTTAATGTGATTTCTTATTCTGACAAGCCATCTGAGTCTAGTAATGCTCCAATGATTTCTGGTTTAACACAAGATCAAGTTTCCCAACTGATGATGCTACTGCAACATTCTCATGTATCTGCTGATTCCTCCTCTACTCCCACTCTTATGGCTTCTGCTAACTTTGCTGGTAAGCTGTTGTCAGAAAGTATTTCTCTCAAATCATGCATGTTTTCACAAGTAGATAGTTTTGTTTGGATAATAGATTCTGGAGCTTCTGATCATATGACCTCTCATAAAGAACTTCTGTTTAATCTAAGGACATTGCCTATACCTTGTCTAGTCTCTCTCCCAAATGGTTACAAAGTAAAGGTCCATTTAATAGGATCCTTAAATTTGTTTCCAAATTTCACAATTCATCATGTTCTGTATGTTCTTTCCTTTCAATACAATCTTATTTCTGTTCATAAGTTGTTAGAACAGTACAATGGGATTGTTTTGTTTACCAGAACTCTTTGTGCTATACAGGCCCCTTCTCTGAAGATGCCTCTGGTTCTTGGTAAATTGCACTACAATCTCTACAAGCTACTTCTTCCACCTGTTGTTTCTTCTAGTGCTGCCTCCAGCTACTCTTCTAGTGCTATTCTCCTGTTTTTCCCCCTATTACTTCTCCTGTTTGTGTTTTTCCTGAAATACAAGATGATGCAAAAAATGTAAATGTTGCTGATGTTGATGTAACACATGTTAGTACTGATGCAAATCTGAATAATATCAATAAAATGGATGTTGTTTGGCATTATAGACTTGGACATATTCCCTTTTCTAGAATGAAACATATATATATGTTTGGGTCACAATTATCCTTCAAACAATCTTTTTCTTGTCCAATATGTCCTCTTGCCAGACAAACTAGATTACCATTCCCTGATAGTAGCATACAATCCACAAAATCTTTTCAACTGATCCATGTTGACACCTGGGGTCCATATCATTCTCCCACTTATTCTGGCTCAAAATATTTTATGACTATTGTTGATGACTATTCAAGAGCCACTTGGACACACCTGATGGGAGCAATGCTTTTGACCTCCTAAAAGCCTTTATTGCTATGACTGAAACTCAATTCCAGTTGAAAGTCCAGCAAGTCAGAAGTGACAATGCCTTAGAATTGGGGTCCAGTATTCTTGGTTCCAAGTTCTTTTCTGAAAAAGGGATATTGCATCAGACAACATGTCCTCACACTCCACAACAAAATGGAGTTGTGGAAAGGAAACACAGACATCTCTTGGAAACCGCTAGGGCCCTTCTTTTTCAATCTGGTCTCGCTATTAGATTTTGGGGAGACTTCATACTCACAGCCACCTATTTGATTAACAAATTCCCTTCTAGTGTCTTAAAGAACAAAAGCCCTTATGAGATCCTGTACAACAAACATCCCACCAACTCAAACCTTAGAGCTTTTGGATGTTTGTGCTATTCTACTGTTCCAAAACCTCGTAGGGACAAACTTCAGCCTAGGGCTACTCCTTGTGTATTCATTGGTTATCCTTTTGGAAAGAAGGGTTACAAGTTGTATGACTTACAAGATAAAACATGTCTTATTTCTAGAGATGTTGTATTTCATGAACATATTTTTCCCTTTGTCAAACTTGCCTTTTTCTACTTGTTTTGATCATTCTGTTCCACAACATTCTTCAATGTCTCATGATTTGTTTTTCCCTATTTCATCAGATCCTTCTTCATCTAACCCTTCTCTTTCTACTTCTGAACTGTCTCTCAACAATGACCCTTCTATTTCCCCTAGTCTCCCCCTTTCTTTTCCTTCTGAATCTAATTCTCCTCCTTCCTTTTCTGAATCTGATTTTCCACCTTTAAGGAGATCCTCTAGACCTCACAATCCTCCCTCTTATTTGCAGAATTATGTTTGTAACTTACCTACCTCTAGCTCCAGGTCTGCTAATTCAACAGTTGTGTCTACTTCTAGTGAACATGTTTTTGAGCCTAATACTTACTCTCAGGCAGCAGCTATCCCTGAGTGGCAGACTGCTATGAGAAAGGAGTTTGAGGCATTGGAGACTAATGGTACTTGGGATATAGTTGAGTTACCCAAAGGCAAGAAGCCAATTGGCTGCAAATGGGTATACAAAATTAAGTACAAAGCTGATGGGAATATAGAAAGATATAAAGCTAGGCTTGTAATTAGAGGTGATACACAGGTTGAGGGAATAGATTTTCATGAAACTTTCTCTCCGGTGGTTAAACTTTCCATTGTTAAAGCTTTAATTGTTGTAGCTATTAAAAGAAATTGGCCACTATTTCAATTAGATGTTAATAATGCTTTTCTGCATGGGGATTTAGATGAGGAATTTTATATGAAAATTCCACCTGGTCTTTCTGTTTCTACTGCATCTGATGATTCTGTTTCAAACAATTTGGTATGTCGATTGAAAAAATCTTTATATGGTCTACGCCAAGCTTCAAGGAAATGGTATGCAAAATTGTCCCAGTCCTTGGCATCTAGAGGTTATTCACACTCATTCAATGATTAGGGTTCTGGTGATAACCTGGTACTCTTAGTTATCTATGTTGACGATATTATCATCACTAGGACAAATGTGGTTGAAATTGATGCTGTAATTTTTTTTTTCTTCATAATTAATTTAAGATTAAAGATCTAGGCCATCTTAACTATTTTTTGGGTATTGAGGTGTTGTACTCAAAGGGTGGGGTGTTGTTACATCAGAAGAAATTTGTGAAAGATCTTCTCAAGGAGTTCCATTCTTCTGATTGTTCATCAGTTGTATCCCCCCTTGAAATGCATGAAAAGTTACTGGCTGATCAGGGTGATTCTCTGCCTAACCCTGAGAATTATAGGTGTTTGGTGGGTAAGCTCAATTTTCTGACCCATAGAAGACCTGATATTTGCTTTGCAGTCCAGCACTTGAGCCAATTCATGCAAAGGTCTTGTTTTCCTCATATGCAAACTGCCTTGCAACTACTCAGGTATCTTAAGGGTACTCTTGATTTTGGGGTTTTCTACAACAACTCTTCTGATTATTCTCTTAGTGTATATTGTGATAGTGATTGGGGTTCATGCCCAGACAATAGGAAGTCCATCAGTGGGTTCTGCATCTTGTTTGGGGGTTGTTTAATTGGTTGGAAGTCCAAGAAACAATCTGCAGTTTCTTTATCATCTGCTGAAGCTGAATATAGATCCATGAGTAAGGCCACTGCTGAAATAACTTGGGTTTGCCGACTTTTATCTGATTTTGGTGTTATTTCTTCTTCTCCTGTTACTCTGTTTTGTGATAACCAGGTTGCCATCCATATTGCCAAGAACCCTGTCTTCCATGAGCACACCAAGCACATTGAACTGGATTGTCATTTTGTTCGCACCAAGCTGAATGAAGGATTGTTTCAGCTACTTCATACTTCCAGTGTAAACCAGCTTGCTGACATGTTTACTAAGCCCTTGGGAGGTGCTCTTCATCACTTGCATCTTCGCAAGTTGGGGGTTATCTCACCCTCCAACTTGCCGGGGGGTGTTGAGATACAAGAAGAAAATGCTGTTACTGCTGTTACTTAGTTTTTTTCGTTGCTCTGAAATTCTGAATCACTAATCTGTGGAGATTGTGGCTCCTTAGATATAATGCAGAATTGATGTATAGTTGTTATTATATTATCTATTTTGTGGAAAGAAAAAAGCAAAAAGTGGAGTTATCTTAATTTTACCAAATGGTCGTTGAAGTTTCTTGTCATTTTCCTTAATATTATATTTAAAGAAGTTTCTTAGAATACGTCTTATGTGGTTGGCGGTTTAAATTTTTTCTTTTGATGGGTCTTCCTCCAAATTGCAATCATTCATTTACTTTCAAAGCTTGGGATTTCAGACATTCCTTGTTATATATTATAGACAATAAAAATAAGCTAAATCAGAAACTAACAGATTTTTTATATTAATTATAACCTATGAATCCTATGTTAGTCCCAGGTCTCAATATTACTGTTTACTCTAAAATTTGAGTAACAATTAAACTTATATTGTGGTTTTACAGATATGTAATTTAATCCAATACTAATTGATAAACAAGGAGTTGAATATATAAATTGAAGAAGTAAAGCAAATCAAACCAGTGCGCAAGCAAGTCTCGACCGTGAGCTATGACAGTCTCGAGGTGGGTCAGCGAGAATAATAAATTACAAGACAACTCAGATGAACAGTAAGCAAGAAAGCGATGTATGTATATTCTCTTGTCAATGATTCGTGTGTTACAAATAATTGGAATCCCCTTTATATAGTAGGAGAATCCTAAATAAGGTACACCTCTAATATAGTAGGGAATCTTATTATACATCTGTCTAAACGCCGAGTACAAATCCGTTCCGGAATTAACGTCGGGATCTTCGGGCCGTTGCGACAATCTCGCTCTTTCTGTTAATAAACCATAACGGTATTATCTCGAGGTTGGTCATATTCGGCCTTGGCCTTCATCGAGCACTTCGGTCTTCAAGTTCTATACTCCGCCATCGAGCTCGATCCAGGTCCGTTTTAAGCTTTTTCTTGAAGCAACTCCCCAAGCCTATGAAATCGGGCATACCTGATTTCGACCGTATACAATTACAATCACTACTAAAAAAACTGGCTAATTTCGTCTAGGAAAACCGACCTAAATCGGTCAGAATTTGAGAAAAAGCGACCGATTCTCAAACGCTTTTAATTAGTCGAAAAAATGATGGTCGCTAAGGTGTTGCAACCGAAACCGGTCAAAATTTTTTGACCGAAAACGGTTGGTTAGTTCAATGCGTTGACTGACAACCAAACTACATATATCGGCTGATTTCAGTTGGCATTAATTAAAAAAAAATTTATTTTTCAAATACCGATCGAAATCGGTCGGAGTTTTAAATATATAATTGTTTGTAAATTGTTAATTTATTTAAATAAATAAATTCAAATTCAACAATATTATACCGACCGAAATCTTATATATATATACACATATATATATATATATATATATATATATATATATATATATATATATATATATATATATATATATATATATATATATATATATCGCATGTATACTCCCCAACTCAAGATATCATAGCACCACAATATTATATATTATTACTATATTACTAATTAGTACTAGTATATATTATCATTATTATTTTATTGATTTCTAATTTTAAATATAGAATATTAAATCTTATTACTAAGCACTAACTATAACCCTTCCTATATTTGCTTATTTTTGTTAGTCCACAGCAGTTGGACTCGATGGCATCAAAGCTCAACTAATAACATGGAAAAACTCACATCTTTCAGCCGATGTGGGCGTCACGACCCGGAATCCCCACCATCGGACCGTGATGGCACCAAACATCACACTTGCTAGGCAAGCCAACATTAGAGTTTTAATTAGCTAAATCCTTTACGCTTCAGTGGTTAACAATAAACAAGCTAAAACCAGTAAAAATAAATGTGCAAGTAAGTAAATAGCCTCTTTGTTTATATACGATTACCAATACTATTACTATTACTATTGCTATTACTATTGCTATTACTATCCAGAATCCGGTGTCACAATCTACGAAGACTAAGATTTGCTACAAACATTTGTTCGAAAGAAGATACAACCGTTTATGAAGGGAAGTAAAACAGTAAACGTAGGAGCATAGGAGGGGACCCAGGGCCTGTGGACGTCAAC